TGGTGCTGAGGAATCGAACCCAGGGCCTCATGCATGCAAGGCAAGTGCTCTACCACTGAGCCACCTTCCCAGTCCCATATGTGATACTTTTTAAACCTCCAATTCAAAATATTTCATTCATCTTGACTTCTGTTTGGGGCTCTGGTTTTACAGGCCTCCTATAAATTCTTTCAAAGAAAAACTAAGTAACCTGATCACTTTAAAGATGATTGAAATTCAAGAAACATCTCTCTCCTTTGTCACCAGCATATAAATTTTCCCTCTGTTTTAGGAAGGGATAATATTTTTAAATTAAAGATTAAGAAATTGCTGAATAGTTGAATGCAATACAGCTGTATTTCTTCTATTTTGAACTGCTATTCTGAGGTTTTCAAATCATTGTGTATTATCCTTCCACTATGATCAACATGAGCACTTTAAAATATGAACTTAGGAAGTGGCAATGTGGCGCAAGTGGTAGAGCGCTTGCCTTGAGCACAAACAGGCTTGGAGACAGTACCCAGGCTCTGAGTTCAAGCCCTACAACCGACAAAAATAAATAAATAAAACATGAATTTAATTTTTCTTTGGTCATTTGGATCACTATTGATACTAAACTGTGCATGTGATTTTATTATTTGATTTTTAGTTTAAATATAATACATGTAGAACTGAGGTATATCATGTGTCCATTAAAAGATTTAATTGAGTATAGTCAAAACCACTTCATGGCATAAAAATGATTCTCTATTTTTGCAAAATTGATTCCAAATCTACAGAACAATCTCAATATTATTTACCTTATGACACACGTTACTTAGTTAACAGTGTTCGAAGCATCTCAAGACATTGGCTTTGACAATTTAGGTAAGAATTTAGCCTGTTCACAAGGAAACAGATTAAGGTCTTGGAAATCCACTTTTGTGCCTCTAGTCCTAGTGTCTCATTCTTTTAATGATTAAATAAACTTAGAGTAAAAAGCAGTGCCTACACCTACCTTTATAATCTCCCAAACATCGGGATGTCTTGGAGGCATCATGAACTTTCAACAATAAATTAATATATTCTAGTCTCTTCCTTATTGCTATTGCAACTGCTACTTCAGTTAATGGGAAGGACACACGTGAAAGAGCATCCAAACTGATACAGCCAGTTTGGGAAAGCCTGAGGGAGTCATTCCAAAAGGTTGAGAGTAGGAATTGGGCAAACGTGAGCTCTTGTTCAGCCTGACAGAAGCCATGATCTAAATCTTGGGAGAGTGTGAGATGAATGTTGAAAAACACTAAGGGCAGTCCAAAAGTTAGGCCCTAGGTTCAGGGTTAAGCCTGACTATTTAGACCAGACCTGGGGAATTTAGAACTGTATACACATCCAAAAACCAAGTAGTCTTCATCAAACATGGCCTCTTCTAGGATAAAGGAATAGAGCAATTAATCCTCCAGTTGATATTGTCAGAAGAATATTCAGTAGATGAATAAAACGATTCCCTCACCATAGAGATCACTATTTTAGAATTCATCACCAAAGGAAAATTACTTGGAAACAAAAGTAGTAGAACACTGCATGGAAAGCCCCTGTGTGATGCTTGCCTCTGCTCTCGCAGTGAAGTGGATAGAGCCATTAGGTGGCTTGTTCCACTGCAAAAACATGACTTGCAAGATTCTGTGCGATATGAAAGATTTTGACCCAACCTATTCATAATGCAATGCAAAACAGTAGTCTTTTATTATTTACAACATGCTAGGCATTGTATTAGGCTCTTTATTCCTATGACCTTATGTAATCTTCTTAACAACTTCTGTTAGTTGATCATACTATTATATTCCCCACTCTACTAAGTCCCAGCAGGGTTAATTAACTTGCCCAAGGTCATTTAGCTTATCTGTGGCAGACAAGATTTGAAAGCAAATTGATCAGACTCTAAATCCTTTTCTCTTAATAAACTCGATAATGCATGCCTCTATCCACAAATGCCACTTAACAGAAGAGTTACATGATAAATTTATACCCTGTAGAGTTGAGACTAATATGATATTCTAATATTGAAAGTATTGCAAAGCCCTCTAATTAGTCATAGTCCACATATTTGCTTCAACAAGTCCTTGGGAGTCAGCATGTACTCTCTATTAAACCTAGATAATTAGGTGCCTACTGCACAGAGTGAGTTGCTAAGTAATTACATAACATGTAGTGTAAGGTATTGCAGATGCAATTCTGCCAGTGGAGCAAGCTGCAACATTTTCTTTGTATTAAAACACCCATAAAATAGTCACTCATGGCTGCAAAATTCAAGGCATTTACCAGGATAATTTCCATAGAATGTAGTTGGAAAGAGGAAACTAGATTAATAGATGACTGATAACATGTTGTTGCAGAATTTGGTAACACAATCCAAGACTGTGCGACTGAAAGAGCTTTTAATGATGCATTCAAAACTCATCACTCAGGGACTGATATCTTTCCTTGCTCCATTTGAAGAAAGGAAGATTCAGCGCCTGGATTTTAAAGTTATTTTTAAAGAATTGCAGCTCCTTCCCCTAATATGCCATAAAGATACTGAACTGAACAGTCCATAAATAATCAGCCAGTCATGGGATCACAATGGAATCTGTATTATAGATCCAG